TTTCCTCCCAAATGCATAGTCCCAATTGATCTCGCCAAACTCGAGGCCCGGCGACTTCGAAATGATTATTTTGATTGTGGTACCTTAGAGTTTTTTGATCGTTGATTTTGATTGGGGTACTGTACATGAAGCCTTAGCATTTTCAATTTTTTCTCCCTCATTGTTACCCTCGGATAGAAGATGGGGACCCACAAGTAACAAGCAAAATGGTACAAGTAACACTTTTGTTGGGCTAAATTTTTGGAAAACCGTCAATTTCTATTTGGGTTTCGGCTTCTTTCTTCAACTCCAATATTGAATATAGAGATTGTTTTCTTAATGAAATATGTCCTTCACATGCAGCTCTTGCAATAAGGTAAGTACAAGTACAAGTTTTCAAATACATGAGTAGGTAGTTTTTACGTCATTATGTGTAAAATATAGGCAATGTTTAAAAAAGTTTCTCAAACTCGGCTTCAATTTTTTGCTCAAATAAAGCAAAATACGATTATAAAAGCGACGTTTTCCGGTGACGCTCCGTATTTTGGAACATCGCAAAATTACAATACTGACGACACAGATGCACACGATTGTGTACATATTTTGAAAGGATTTTCATTGTTATATAAATGTTTTGACGACTTATTATAATCAATTTTGATTCTTTGATATCTCTGTTTTTTAATGTTGACTGTAAACAGCAATCAAAGTGTGCAATGCAAAAAAAGTCAGAACTGAAGGAGTAAATAAAATATATTGTTTAAAATTAGATCTTTAAGTAGTGATTCACCTACCTATATTACCCAAGTTGTTACCCTTGATATTCATGATCCACTATCACAGAAACTATTGGAGATGCCAATTTGAACTTTTTAAAGTACATTATTTGTATTATTTTTGTTGTATTGATTAAAATTGAAAAGAATTGCTTGGCAGAAAACTAAAATATAATTTGTTCCCCCAGACCTCCATTATTTTCAAAAATTTAATGACACTTTTATTGATAAAATTGAAACAAATAATGCTAACTTCACAAATGTAGATCCACAGTTTTACGTTGTCTACTTGAGTAATCTGTAAAAGAATATAAAATGGGTTCAATAGTTTCTGAGAAAACTGAGCATTTGTGTATAAGAAAAACGCTTTTAAAGCTTTTACTAGTAATTACCCAGCCTATTCGGTGTATTATTTTACCTAAAAACAACCTGCTCTTTATTGTGAATTATGCTCGGTATTGTTGATATCTAGAAGCTGTTTTCTCTTCTTTTTCTGGCTTTTTGGGTCATTTTCTCACCTGACAATGAGATTTCTGCAGAGAGGGGGCTTGGCTGGATCAATTCTGGAGTTAAGATTTTCATTACTAAAAGTATTTTCCGCATTACATATATTGTTAATGACAAAAATCTTTACGATTAAATTTATTTTCTTTGTTCAGAAGCTATTGAAAACACCTTTCGTTTTTGTCATTGGAGTCGAACTAGTTGACCTTATTTTTCACACATGAAGCTATCCCACCACTTACCCCACGCAAGAAAGTAACACTTAACTTTAAAATCACAGAACATTACGCCCGCCAAATTGCTCAGATAAACGCTATAATATGAAACTGTAAAAACCACGGCCTTCGAGAGTCGATAGATTCAAAACTATGTTTATGTGAAACCATGGAACCCCTTAAACGTCAAACTGTCTGTGCTGATGTACATTCAAAACGCAATAAAATAATCAAAAAACAATTTTCAGCGAAAAATATAACAAAATGTTTAATTATTTTACGACTAAAAAAAATTCAATATTTTTCTAATTTTTCGGATGGAATCTCACCTTTTTAAGGCCATGAACATTTTTTTTTTTAAATATGAGTAGTTTCGCGCAATTTTTTATTATCTTCGAAATTGCAAGCTCGCCTTTCCCGTGATTCATTTGCTGAAGTATTTCGTGAGATACCAGTTTGCATTTCAATGGCAATGACACAACATTGCAGTTCGAAATTCTTTCTCATTGTTGGGCGATGTTGGGAGTTTTCCCCAACCAGGTATCCCCCACCAGCGGGGCACCGCCCCTGCCAGGAGAAGCTCTAAGCTACCGACCGGCCTCTCGGCATGTGTGCTTGTGTAAGGGTAAAGGATAAGACAAGAAAGGGTTAAAAAAGAACATTGATCTAACTACGGAAAACTACCGATCAGAGCAGCCGGCCGCAAGAATTCTCCTCCAGACAGCGACTGAATCCGTCCTAGTCGCTGTCAAGCTAGCCCGTCAAGCTACTAGTGTCGAAAATCTGCCACCGTCGGGACTCGAACCTAGACCCTCCGGGTCAGAGGGACTGCAGAGACATCAGTTGATGCTCTGAGCCATCTCTCCGGGTATGTCCTTTGAGTATGCATGACGCATTGTCATAGGAACTCAAAACCTCGCCATTCTCTCACTTTGCCCAATTTTAAAAAAAATTCAAGCGATGGGTCTTGGATGAGTAGTGGGTTCAGATTCCCAACCCAACTCAAACACACTTGCGTGAGAAAATCGATAACCCTAACATCCGACATCTATATAACATCGAATGAAGTCGTAGGCTTCCGCGGCCAGAGTCATGTGCATGAACTTGGCTGTCCGGGTGACGCCGCGTCGGAGGCTGTGTTGCCGACGTTTCGACCATCTTGTCGTGGTCTTCCAGCCCATACCAGCCCTGAGGAAGACCACGACAAGATGGTGGAAACGTCGGCAACACAGCCATCGACGCGGCCTCACCCGGACAGCCAACATCATGCATCTATATAACATCGACATCTAATCTAGAGAATATGGATAATCTACCGCACCAAATGTTCTTTCCGGATGACAATGTAAGAAAGGTTCTATTCATTCCAAGAATTAAACATTAGGTCTTTCATATCCGCCGCCTTATAAAAAATAATCAACCTTTAAGTAGTCACATGGTGTCATATGACCCCAAATTTTCATTATATAAGTCTAAATGTTTTATTAAGTTTATTTTTATCATGATCAAACAAGTTTAAATATCATTTTATAATACCCCTTCATTAGTATATAATACAAAAGAGCAATAAAATTTGAAGACTATGAAAAACAACATCAAAAATCAGTTTAAAAGGAAACACATTCCTAAAAAAGGCTATTGTTTAGAAAATAAATGTTAGAAGACTCTCGTATTAAACTGAATTAAAGTGTTACATAACTTGTCTGAATTCCTATTAGACAAATAGACATTTATTTTTATAAGGGCCATGCTACAATGTATAATTACTGTATACTGTGATAATATGTTCAGGTATGATTATCTTTCAACGAATGCAGCTGTCACACGCATGTTTTTGAAGTAAATACCTCTACTTGATACCATCATTTGTTTAATTTTAACTTATAAAATACACAAAAAATTATAACCATTGTTTCTGTATTAGCCTCATTTGGAATTTTTCTTCTCCTTTCCTTTTCTTCCATCACCATTCTTGGTTGAATTTCTACTCATATTTTTATGATTACCACTCTGCAGTCAAACATTGTCAATAACATAAGAAGAGATTATTAACCCATTTGATCTCCAAAAATGTCTCCCTCTTTTTATTTGGCAGCTCACACTTTCTTCTTTAAGAATAGCAGGGATATGTTTTTTTTGATTTTGACATTCTCGTTACGTGTCTAAGCTCTTATCTCTTTTAGATATTCAGTAAATTGCCAATTTGTAATTCATTCTGACATTGCTTTCTTTAATTTAATTTGTTGTGTCTTAATCATCATAATTATTCATTATTATTTTACAATTATTATTATCATTATACAATTATTATTATTATTATTATTATTATTATTATTATTATTATTATTATTATTATTATTATTCACGTCTCTTAACCCTTGGTCAAGCATTGAGCGCTTCTTCCAGAGTAATCCTCCACTGTTGTCCCTCTGAATTCCAGAGGGCACTGTATTTATGTAAGTTTCATCTCATCAGTCAGTTTGCCAAGAGGATCGCCAGGTAGAATATCCACTCTTACACCACACACCCTTGCATCACTACCCAGTGGCCAGAATTGGGAAGAAAATAGGAAAAGGGTAGGGTTCAGGACACTTTACAGGGGTTGGTCTAGCCAGCAGACTTTTTTTGTTGAAAAAAAAAATTCACATGACCTTGTCCAGGAATCGAACCCGGACCTCCTTGGTAAAAGACAAGCAACTTCACTCTGACCCTTAACTGTTAGTGATTGTTATACTCCAATATAGAATAGCTTCTCAATCTCGTTTCAGCCCGTTCTTTCCTAACAGACTACCTTTGAAATTTCCAATTAAAATTGAATTTCTGAAATAAACTTTTGTCCAATTTAGAAGAAGATTTTTATCTTCTAACTTCTTGTAACAGTAATATTCATAATATTCCTTCTCAATAATAACAAACTCATTCATCACACCGAATTGTGATATATACCTCAAAGTCTTTTTGTTCTGCTTAATTTAAGTAAATATGTAAACTTCACTATTTAACTATGCAAAATGGAGAATTTTATCATATGTAAAAATGTACAGACAGTGCCCATACAAACAGTGTACATTTTGTCGCTGTATTGTTAACAGCCATAAATAAATAAATATCAGATACACGAAAATCAACAATCACTGTCCTTCATAATAGGCTTATTTATTTAATTTTCGTTAACGTTGTATTTACGATTTAACTGTTTTAATAAACCATGACAAATTCCAGTTTAAAATCAGTTATTGTTATAAAAGGATGATTATCAATGAAAATCAATTCTAAGTTCATATCATTCATAAAAAAACTTCAACAGCAAACTAAATTTTGCTCATTCCTCCTCCAATAACATTTGAGCAAGTTCTATATTACTCAATTTCGTGTTATTTCATGAAAGCAATATATACCAAGATAACGTTAAAAGATTTCACAGATTTCAAACAATTAAGGACGTTAATCTTAGTTACATAGGATCTCATTCACCTTTAAATGCTAATAAATACACAATATATTGCAGTTCTTGAATTCTAAATAATTATTTAGTCATCTTGAATCTACAATAATATCAAGAAGAAATAATACAAGGTCATTATTTTTTCATTATTTATTGAACAAATAACAATCAACAATAAATGCTAAAGAAAAATCTCCAAAATTATACACGTTATAAAAATACAAATCTTAAACAACACAATTAAAAAGCCCTCATCCCCTCATATTCTTCAACTCTTATTTATATACAATGACATTTATGTCATGAAAATGCCCTGAAATTGAACCAAAGAGTTTCATATTGAAAAAATGCAAACAAAATTAAATGAAAATTCAACCCACCAAGAAATGAATAACATAAAATCCAAATGCATATATGAAGCCTTCTTTTCTGCTAAGAATGCTATTAGCTTGGCAAATGAGAAAGAACATGCAATAAAGATGTACTTCTCAAAAAGGCCCTTGTCTCTCCTTTTCTTTTTCTACATAATTATTACAAGTCAATAATAGGAATGTCATGAAATTCTTGAAACTGAAACAAATCAAATTCCTCAATAAACAATTTATGTAAATAAAAAACTGAAGACCTAACCTCAAACAAATCAAAATGTTGTCAACATTCTGGTTTTACAAAAGTCAACACCCACATGCAAACCAAAAGCATTAGCACCATTCCAAAACAAAACTAAACCCATTACCTTTAAAATAGCACATGTTGCTCAATTCACTTTTTGGTTCGAGCATTCAACTTATGAGCCAGGTACGTATACCAAACATATTCAACAATATTGGCAAGAGGTACTTGTAACTGAAATAAAAGAGATTATTTTCTTTTAAAACAATGTCATTTTGGTTCCCTAAATCTCTCAGGAATAGTCATTCTATTCTGGATGAATAATTTTCGAAATTACCAGTGATTAATGAAAACAAAACTCCCAATACTCTAAAAAAAATTATTCAAAGCAAAAATGTGCACAGTACATCAGTAGTTATGATATAGTCATATTATTATAATAAAAATAATGGAACCATAACAGCACACACATTCTCATGCAATTTGTAATGGTTACATCATATTGCAAAGAACTTTCTTGAGTTTAGGTCAAAAGAAAGTAAGTGATTTAAATTGCCAACCTTTCAGCTTTTTTTTTACGCCTTCATCAGGACTGTAATATAAAAGGTTAGTAAGAAAAACCCTTTATATTATAGCCCCAATCCAGGCAGAATAAAATCCAGCACTTTGGTAGTTAAAATCACTTTTTTTGTTTTGACGTAAACTCAAGAAAGGTCCTTGCAATTAATTACCAACATAAAAAAATCAAGTACAATTTACGCCATGTTCTAATATTGCAACTTCTATCCTCCAACACTTCACCAATTTCTAACCCAATGTTAAACTGAACAACACACAAAAAATTAGAAAAAAAAAAAATCTTTCATTTTTTTGAAAATTGAAATGTTCTAATAAAAGTGACACTACTGTTGTTAAATTAAAACAATTACAAAGATGTCCAAGAAAATTAGTGTGGGCCATGATTTGAACCTAACAGCTAAAGTACTTGATGACAGTATCCTGACCATTCAGCTATTCAGCAATACACTGAATCTTTACAATAAAATATTTATCCTCAATAACTTGTAGAAATAGTCTGAAACATTTTGAATTACCATTTTCGAAATTTCAGAGGTTTTAATGAAAATCTGACCAGTGCTCTTTATAACTGACCCTTTGCTTCATTTGGACAAAAAATTAACAGAAAAAATTTGGATCCAATTTCTATAAAATTGTGAATATTTCCAAGGCGTGTTGTGTAAAATACACTCACAAAATAAAAGATGCTTCAAATTCTCAGGGGCTCAAGTTGGGCCAAATTGACTGACTGAGAAAAGGAGGGCGGAGGGAGGCGAGAAGGGGAAGAGAGAGGAAGAAAACACACAAACCCAAATCCTTTCTCATTGTCAAGGACCGCACAATAGGCATTTCTGTTGAAATCTTGACCTCTAATTTCTGTAGTATTACAAAGCTTTAACAGAACTATTATTTTTCTAATTTAAAAGAAGTAAAAATTGTAATTTTTTAACCATGAAATTACCTTAATTCTTTCTGTTTTTACAAGAGAATTGAGGGATATTAATTATATCTTAATAGCCATGTTTCAATAAAAAATATGAAGTCTTACAATTGGTGGTCCATATCTCAATACAGCGTACTGCAAAATGGTAAACCAAAGCCAATTAGTCTTCAGTGCTGTCAAGTAATGTCTCATGAGCCTCCGCACAGCCTGATCTGAAGTCAGACCCTAATAAAAAAACATATTTTATTTTAAAATATTATTGACCATACTTCAAATTCCTGCTTGATCAATCACACATTTTGAAATTAACATTTCACATTCTACCACATTTAAATTTTGTTATAACATATCAATTATGCAGAACACACACTGTTATCAAATCCATTTTTTAATGGAAATATTCCATTCACAACAGTCGAAAGAAAGTTACTTTCCATAAATTTCATTCAAAATGTCTACTAACGTTAGAATACGGAAAAAAATAAATTAACATCAGAGATTTATCTCTACCGCATAATCGCATACTGTTTTGTATTATTATATGATTAATTACCTGTAATCGTGAAATCACATACAGGCAAACAGCGATAAAGACAGGAGTGTACAACAACCGTTCCACAAGAAGTTGTTTAAAGATGTTTTTGCGAATTGTTATATCAGGAATAAATCGCACAATAACCCGATAGAAAACATTTGGTAGTGTGCTTCCAAACAGCAATCTAAAAGTAAAAAAAGATTCATTGTTGGTTTGCACATTTCATGTTTCACAATTAAAAAAAAAGAACAAAGGTCTGTTATAAAAGCATACTACATAATAAAAAAATAATTCCAAACTGAACGGAAACAATAATTTAAATATTTTCATTTCTGAAGTTTCATTCCCAATTCCAGAAAATCACAAAATGACACCAATGAAAAAAACAAAAATAAAAAAAAGTAAAAGGGGGTAAAGTCATATGTTTTGTCAGCTGATAAATAGACCATCTCATTGCTTTTGGATGAAACCTCATAAAATGTAAATCAATATAAATGAACTGGAAATACATTTTTTAAAACAATTTTTTAGGTTTTATCCAAAAAACACTGAGGTCTGCAAATCAGCAGATGAAATGAATGTGACTAAGTTACCCATTTGTATGTGATTTTTTGTCTTGCTGGAATCGAGAAAAAAAACATTGAATACATAGCAACTAAGAGCCACTATTTATTTTGACTTTTCAGTACCAATTTTAACTAAGTTCAGATTAGGAGACAACGTAAGTTAGAAAATTAAATATAAACCAGAAATGAAACCTAAACCATTATTTAACAATAAACAACAGAACATTAAATCAACACACCAGAAAAACATTTCACACAATGTGAGAAAATAATAATAATAATAATAATAATAATAATAATAATAATAATAATAATAATAATAATAATAACAACAACAACAACAATAACAATGTTCAGAAAAAACATTTTCTAATCAAAGGAGAATGTATTAAGTAAAAAAAAGATATTTCTGTTTCCTGCAAATAAATTCAATCATTATATTTCACAGAAAAATTAGCATAATTGAAAGTATTTCTAATAAATATTACCCTAAATAATAATAATATAATATGATATTGTTAATGAAGAGAGAGCGGGAGGGAAAAGAAGCAAAATTCATCCAAGCAAATGCACACTTTGTAAAAGGCAAAACAAAGAAAAAGTAGTGATACTAATAATGATTAAGGTAAAATAACATTAAATGAGAATAAAAATATACATGTTTACCTTACATGTACAGTAATACACTTTGAATTAAAGTAATTGCTATAACTCAATTAAGAAAGGCATTATCAACATGCACACACTTTGTTAGATCTGTATTCAATAAACCATAACCAATTATTTTTATATAACATGATAATACTTTCGTTAGTAAATATTTAAACTGTCAGAATTTCTCATATTGTTTCGTAATTCTACACGTCACAGTTAAATTTCATCACAAGGGATTTATAGTATCAATTTAACAAATTCGATTAATTTTATTAGGATATCATTTATACTTCACTAAATGCCTCAAGTTAAATATATATTTAAACATACAGTTAATATTATGAATATTTTGAAATTAAAATAATTCAATGATTAAAACCCTTAAAAAATGTTCACAAAATGCATCACATTGAACCATTGTACAGACAAATTCCTTTTTATTTATTTCAATTCAAAATTTATTGGTATTCATAATTACAGGATTATGGGTAATTTATACTAAAAATGCAGTGAGATGATAGCCACATCTTCAAATGAAATTAACAGGATATTTCAGCAATTCACAAAGACATTACAGTGACAATATTCTAACAAAAATCAACTCATTTGACATCAATCATTCAATTCAGAATAGATACTACCTTGACAGTGCAAATAAAATAGGTAATACATGTGGTATACATCATACATATGTTATAAATTGGCTGATCTGCCAGAGGTATCAAGACCAAATTCTCAGAATCATAACTTTCTTAATACTTTTCAGCATAAAAATGACGAGTTGTAAATTTTAAAAATAAAATACATTGAATAAGTTTCAGGTTTTCTATTCTTTGAGGAGATAACTACCTGTATTTGAGTTTCGAAAATTTGGAGAATCTCCTCTAACACGACTCTCAAGTCTAACATATGATTATTAACTTGCTTAGTATATTTCAAGTTTCAGTTGAATAAAAGTTCAAAAAAGGAATTTTGAACCCACACCTTCTGCCTTCGAACTTTCCAAAATACACCCAGTGCAAATTACTGAACTACGAAAAGGTAGGAATAAGCCTGTCTCTTGTAAATTTGAGGTTGAAGGAAAGGAGTCCCAAGATGATTTATAGACAGACACGACTCTTCTCAATTTAGTTTTATAACATCTCTATGTTACAATTACTGATATGAGCTCCTAACTCGTTTGCCTGAGCATGGGGAAAATATGTCCCCAAAAATGTTGCGCATTCCAGTAATTGTAACATACGAGATGTAATAAAACCTAATTGAGAAGAGTCGTGTCTGTCTATAAATCATCTTGGGACTCCTTTCCTTCAACCTCATACTGAACTATGATTTGGCCTCTTTAAACTGTCTTAATCTGTCTTACACGGAATGAGTGTGAGGCTGCCTGAAAAACTTTTATTGGAGCCCCCCTTTATGAAAGTGTATAGCAAACACAAGTAGTGTTGGTACCTTAAATAATAAAAATATCTGGTACAAATAAGCCCTGTTTTATTTGCGCCCACCCTCATTGCGGGTTCAAACATTACGCCACTAGCCTTGTCTAAAACAGGGATACCGAGAATCTAAATCTCATATAATCCACCAATGCCGTGAACTAGCCACCCTAAGGCAGTCTAGTACAAATCTAAATGATAATTTATTTTAACTTTTCTTTTCACAAAAGAACTTTAAAAATTTCTACAAGATAACAATCTGCAACCTCTGACATCTTAATATAAAGGCAAATACTCTTATTCCCCATAGACTTCATCCAGTATTAGAGACACTAGTGATGCTCTTAAGTCTGCTTATAATCTGTTTAGTATAAAAGTGACGTTAAATGAACAAACTCTGAGAGCAAAATGTTTATCCATATTGCATATACCCAAATAAATATATTTTCCCCCACAACAAAGATGATCTAAATGATGTATGAATGTCTCTATAGAACTAGTTTGTGTGTAGTAGAAAGAACAGTTGACATAAAATATGTCACTAATGGAATTTCAAAACTTTTCTCCTCTCGCTTACAAAAATTACTGTAATTAATGTTACTTTGTTCCGTCGATTATCTTAATTAGTGTATTACCTCATTATATAAATTAAATACGTTAATGACTATTTCTTATGAATTCAATAAATACTCTCATGAGTAACACTTACCCATATACTCCAAAAGATAAAACACTATCATAATCAATCCTTTGAACTCCAGACAGGTATTGTGATGTAACATTTCCCAGAACAGCAACAAGAGAACTTAAACCGCACATCAAACAAAAACAAGAAAATGCATAATTAACGATAGCAAAATTCGAAATTATATTTGTGGACTCTGTTAAATAAATAGTTGACTAATAACTACAAACAAATGAAAGAACTCCAAAACTTGAAGGTAAATACACACCTGCTGATACTCCTTGTCCTTAAAGAATGACTGTGAAGTTGTTCAAAATATAAACCCAAAATACTGTAAATTGGTTTCGACAGCGCCATGATAAAACTAAAAAAGTGAAGCTTACAATAAACAAGAAACAGGATATGGATAAAAAATTAATAATAATAACATTGGGTTGAGAAAGAAGTAACACATTGCCATTGTTAATGTAATGATATTCATAAATGCAAGCACCGAAGAACAAATACTATTCATAAATAATAATTATTGAATCGTAAATTTTTTGACAGAATATCACAGGCTCAAAAGCATTAATAATAAGAATTCACATACAAGTACGCAAATACAAATAGAAAGCTTCAGACGCTTAGAAATCGCTTGATTTTAAGTTTAATATCAGTCACCTTTATTGCCCAGATTAAAAATCTGCTTATCACTGTAAAAACAAAACAAGATAAACTTATTTCAAGTACGAAGCACTTTACACCTAACCTCTTGCCTTCGGTGTTTGCCAACTTAACGACGGAAACTTATTAGTATTGGTTTTATAAAAACAAAATCTTGTTTAATGGATGTTCTTTAATATAGTATATTTGTTTAAACTATTTTGTATGCTATTTTTATTTTCTGGTGCCCCGTTATTATTTTTGGAACTGAATATTTTAATTTAATTTCAAAATATTTACATCGAATGATACACTAATTTTAGTTGGCATGAATGTCAAAAACAGCTGATCACAGGCAGGTTGACATACACGTTGCTCACGTGCTTGTTTGTTTTTACTCAGTAATCCCCTCCTTCTAGCGTTTAGTTATGCGCTAATAGAAAAACGTAGGTTTTATTAAGCCATAAAATACACTTCTAATATTCTTTTTCTTTTATTATATTTCACGGTATACGTGAAATTGAAGTAATGAATAGGTATTTTAAAAATATTTCATAGAACCCAATTCAAATGGTAGGAACATTTTGTCATTTTATATTTCTCATTGCCAAGACACTATCGAATCGTTTTTACCCTTCGTCCGTGCCTGTTCTCTCGCAGTAATCTGCGAAGCGGATCAATCAATTCCCGCAGGGTACGCAAAATTAAAAAGAATAACCGACGAGGCACAACCTGGAGAAGGTTAACCGATCAGCTGATCGCATCTTAGGATGTTGTCCTGCCTCAGCTGTAGCGTGTTTTATTTTTAGTAAGCTGAGTGAACTTCGCCAACAAATGTGGAGAGAATATTTTGAGAGAACAAAGGAGCAGGCGCTTTCTTGATTTTGTGATATTCCACAGTTTAAGTGCGAATCCCTCCGAAAATGAAGGGAAGAGTTAAAACAAGTGTATTTCGTGATTTGTATCAACAGCCATACAGTGATCTGACTCGTGTCAAATTGTACAACAGTACCAAAGGTTAGTGAAGTATTAAATATTGCATTTCAAGAAAGCAGCGTTAACTCTTTAAAAAAAGAATTGTATCGTTTCATTTGCACAGTAAAATTATTCATTTGTATGAAATTAAAATACGATTTATGGTTTATATAGGATATCACTGTGACATTTCTTAATACGTGCTAAAACGGAAAAAAGTCACTTTTAAAGCCCAATTCTTAACCTTTGAAGAGTCATAGAATAACTAGGAATTAAATACTGTCAAATATTTGACCCCTAATTTGTTTTGAAATTAGTTAACTGAAGGCAATAGAACATTATATTTTCTCATTTTACAAAATACAGTTTTGAAAATTGAAACGAATTTTAAATTAATTATTTCTTCACTTTCATGATTTTAAAGTAAAAAAAATATTTTATCATGTAGTATAAAGCATAGAACTCAAGAATCAGTATAGTTTTGTCTAGGTAGTATCCATTAAATTGTCTGCAGAGAATATATTGGGCTGTGCTGCTCCAAAATCTACTTGCTGTTCAATTTAGAATGTAGTCCTCTGGCTTTTTAGTACCTTTTCATAAATTGTTGCGATGTTAAGGGAATCAGTTTTAGATGTAATATTTTTTTCAAATCTATTGCTTAAGCATGATTTTCATCATTTTGGTGTCTGGGTTTTGATCATTAATTTTAAAACATTCTTAAATGAATCATAGAAAAATTAATTTTATTAATGTAGAAGCATGTAATGTGTTGTGTGCTTTTATAATGTTTTGATGTTTGATCATTCCTTAAAATGTAGATTAGGTATTTGTTCCAATAGTAGATATATTAGTAGAATTAATTTTTTTCTCCTTGAGAAATGGATATCTTTGTATTATGATATTGTTTTGAATCCTTACTGATGATCTAATGTTTATTTTAATATCTGATTTCTCTGAATTGACACTCGGTAATCATTGAATTATTTTTCGTTTGTAGCAATGTAATACTATCTGTAATTGTATTTAATAGGTATTTGTGGTCTAATATATATTTATCTCCTCTTTCTGTTAGTCTTTTTCCACTATCTTACTTTTTTTTATTGATCCAAATTATTTTATTATTCCAAATCTTAATTTGTATTCCACTGGATCATTGCGTCATAAATTTAATTTGCCTTAGCATATTGCATCTTTCTATTTAATTTGTAGCATTTAGGAGAATAAATTTCAATGAAAAATATTTCAGTTTCATTTTGTTCTAATCTTAAATACTTCATAAAAATTCAAAATTGCCTATATTTTACAGAAGTGAGATGAACATACAAATGTGCCAATATATAATGAATAATGTTCAAATGTATGAAAATATTGCAGTATGCCAAAGAAAATTCAAAAATGTTTAAATTTTTGACACATCAGGAGATTTCTTCATTGGGCATATTTTTAATTCACAAATGCCAACAAAATATGATACCAAAGAATGTTTGAAGAGTTAAATAGCGAGTATCCACCGTACAAAGTCGTTATTAAGACATTCAGAGCGATACTACTGTCTAAATAGATGTAGGCTCAACTAGGGAGGAGTCCGAACAGAGCAGCCTTCAAATTTAATGGTGCTCAATTAAGGTCGTGATCAAACTTTTAAAATTTGAAAGACTAGCACGAGAAATAGTAAAGCAACTGTGTTCTGAGATGTTTTTCTGGAAGATAGAAACTCGGAAAGAGGACCAAGAATTACGTATTTCTCAGGTAATATTACCACTACAAATGTTATGTTCAATCATCAAACATTTTAGGAAAGTCTTGACCTGTATCGAAAACGAGACATGACGCATTTGATTGTAATAAAGGATTTTCTTAAAAAATCCAGCCTCTTGTGATAATATTACCTGGAAGTTACATACTACAGTTCTCCCCCCTCCCCGAGTTCCAATTTTCCAGAAAAACATTTCAGAACGCAATGGCTTTATTATTTCTCAGGCTGCTCCTTAGAATTTTAAGTTTGATCACGCCCTAATGATTTTTTTTTCTAATTTTTGTGTTCTCTTTTATATATATATATATATATATATATACTATATACTATATTTTGTTCTTTAAATAGTTTTTGCTTTCTACGACGGTCGTACTGTCAGGAAAAGTCTCATACAGGAAGACATGAAATACCAATGGATTCTGAATGGAGGATGAGAAGAATTCTAGTCTTCTACAAGTACTACTTAGACAACCTTAGGCATGTTCTAGTGTCTTTTAAATAATAATTAACTAGTCTAAATATGAGGAGTTCGCAGAACCTTTAGCTGTCCAGAATCAGCCATCTTTGCATTCGCTCTCAGGATGCCCGGGAGCATCGAAAACCACATTCGAAATTTGTTCCTTTTTTACATTATTCTGTTCTAGTTTATTCTATTCTCTACGTCTATATTCCATTTTAACTATTATAACTTCAGCGCAACCGATTAAATTTGGTATTTTAATTGTTCCGAGTGTGATCAAGTATAAAATGAAAATGAAATATTCATTCTCCTCTTTATATCCCGACAATAATGTTTTCCCTATTATTTCTAAGTTTTCCTTTCGAAGAAAGTTGTTTTTTATCCAACCCCAACTTCAGTGCTGTGCGAATCGATCCACTTATATCCAACCCAAAAGACCGTTGAATTCAGCCCACTTGTGAACGCCTCCAAGGTAATGACGTTTACTGAACTGCCTATTCTTGTAAACCTTTTCGTGAACAGTATCTTTATTAATCATGTGTCTTCCCTCAAATATTTAGGCACTGTTCTAGATAATCAATGTGATGCGAAGAGAGAAATAAGATTTAGAACGGAGCAGCAAGAAGTGTCATTTCATTAGAATGAACAATGTATTTGTAGAATCGAATCGTAGTCTGCAATTCAAACGCTGAAACGTTTTTTAATTGCGGAGTCTTAGCGTTTCGCGGGCATTAAGCGTTCCAAATGCGGAGGCTCTTGAGCGACTACAAAAGCAAAAAGTGTTTCTGCTTGCAATAATGAGAAGAAGAACTGAACATCTAGAACGTACTATGAGAAGCAATATAATAGAACTGCAATTAATTATCGAAGGGAAGATAATTGGAATAATGTCTGTTGGGAAGCCGAAAGATTCGTGGCAGACCGATATTAAAGACGTTTCAGAAACACATCATTGGAATCTTTTCGTTCTCGAATCAAAATAAATGTCGGTTACGTCGGCCGTCGTGGAGAAAGTTGTCGCACCCTGAGACAAAGTGAAAAACATTGCACGGAATACATCACTCGTACAGCCTAGAAACATTTTTTCATTACAATAATCAGATTAAGGAAGAAAAATGTAGAATGGAAAAAATGATGGGAGGATGAGGTATGTGAAATCCCCTATCGGCCATTGCGCACTCGGCGTCGAACGCGTTGCCTGCTGGGACAGGCGCACCAGCCTGCTCGCTCGAACGGACCAAAGGAATTACGCCAATAAGCGCGATTGGTTGAATTATAGTAAGTTGTAATGTAGAAAATGTACCAAATTGGGTTGTATAAGAGTGTAGTCAAATTAGTTCAGTGCTTTCAAAACCATCAAACAAAGTACAAGGTTTCTGTAAACAAAATACTTTAGAAAAATGATTATTTTCATCGCTTTCCTGGTTTTGGTGTTTTTTCATAACAGCTTCGCTCAAATTTTCTTCTCAATAATTACCCCCATTCTGAAAAATGTATAATAGAATCCATCTGGTATATTTCCACCAAGTGGCAAGCAAAGGAGAAATCAATGTGCCGATTCACTTTAGTGTAACATAACTCCGCTCTGACAGCCTGGCAAGGAATTCCAATCGATGCTTAACGTCACGCAGTGATTCATTCCGAAAAATGTTCTCCCTTCTTCCGTCTTGATCTTCGTATTGCGACCTGTTTTGTGGAACTAGTGCGCAAGCGAAACGCTTCGGAAATTCCTTGAACTGCCCTAGGACAGTAAAAAACTGTATTTCCTCACCACATCTCGTGTAGTTTTTAAGTATAGTTAGTAGCTAAATATGTTTTGTTAATGAAAATGTCTTAAAATAATAAAGTAAAAAACAGAACCCGCAGTTTGTGTTTCAGTACCATTTAAAAAAGTAAGTAGGTATATTATCATTAAAATTTAAAGATTAAGTGTAAATTCTACAGTGCGAACCGGGATATTTTTTATAATTTCTCGTGTACACAAATTTGTACAAATTTCTAATATGCTTGCACAGACAGCTTGAACATATTATTAGAAAAATAATATAAAGCAATATAGAAATTTCACTCTTATTAATTCGAAGTCACAATACTGTAATACTCCCTCGGCAGTTAAAGCGCTTAAAACTCTAAATACATAAAACGCAGTCAAGAGCCGACCGACGATTGATTACTAGATTTTCCGGGCGCGTCAACTGCTAAGGTCATTAGTCCCATAAGTGCAGTGCATGTTTGGTTGTTGTTGTGGTGGTGGTGGTGGTGGTGGTGGTGATGGCGCCCCGCTGGATGGCGAGATCCGACGCCGACGTATCATCGCGTCGGCTAGCGGAATTTTCGCCAACCAGGTATCTCCCACCAGCGGGGCACCGCCCCAAAACTCAAAGCTCCCCACCGGTCTCGCGGCGTGTGTGGGAGTGTAGTGCGTGTTAGCGTAGGGGCGTGGATAGGAGAAGGAAGAGGAGCGCGCGCGATCCGTGGTCCGTTTGTAAGGGTCGACCATCCGCCTGGAGTTGATCTGAGCCACCACGGAAACCCCCCGATCGGAGCAGCCGGTCTCTAGAATGCCTCTCCAGCCAGCACTGGCTGTCGAGCAAGTGCGTATGATGCTGCCTCCGTTGGGAGCGGAACCCTAGGAGCAGGCCCTGCAGGGGCACCTCTGCCGATCGGCGCCTGCGAAGCGAAGGGGGCCTGCCCGCGTCTTGGCGGGGGCGCCGGAGGTCACGGATGTGAGCGTTTGAGCTAATCGTCCGAATGACAGCGGTGGCCGTCGCGTCGCCCACGCGCCCGCCCGGGCCAGCCCGCGCGCTGCTGTCAGCTGCCAGAGGA